TTTTTTTGTCTTATAGATGTTCACTTTAATCATCAATGCATGAATCCTCTAGGTTCTTTACTTTGGCACCCGAGCTACATTGCGTGAGCGCTCGCCACTTAAAGGAACCTTAACCATTCGATTACGAAATTTACTTACCTCGACACCCTAACCATCTGTTTGGGGATACCGTCACCTTAAGTAACTTTAACTCTCTTGACTCCCGAGTTAACCACCCGGGATTCCTCTTGGCTGACCTTAATATATGGCACTCGAGCTAGCCACTCGAGGTTCTTTTGTTTTGAACTTAGTATTTGGCCCCTGATTAACAACTTAGAGTTCTTAACTGAATATTTGGCCCTCGAGCTAACTGTCCTTGGACCCTCAAGCTTGTTCACTCTGAGATTCTACCCCTTGACTTAATTTGTAACTGTTGTAGCAATTTATATTTTTTACCGAGTACCGAACGAAGGATTCGTTCCCCGGATTGATCTCTCAAGGAAGACGATTCGGAATATAGAATCGATGTTGATCGCACATAAAATAAAATAAGTCCTAAACACTTTAATATTGATTTGGGAAATAAACTAAAACTAACTTGAACTAGAAAAACAAATAAATGAAATAACAATTAAATTCCTAGAGAATTGAAGTTCTAGGGGCGGGAAATCTCATCACGTCCTAAACTATGTTGAACACTTATTTGCTCGGTTACAAGATTCAACAAGCCTACACATCTAGATATTTATGTTCAATAACTTTTCATAACAAGAGCACACACAGAAATGACAAACTCATTCAATCAAGCAACTCATAGACAATACTTTTACGAACAGGTCTACTCTATACGAGCCTAGATCGATCTAACTTCTCCCCTTTCGGTTATAAGAGTTGACTAATTTAGACAAGACGGTGGCTAATCGACTAATCTATTGGGATTAACATCATCAAACTCGAGTGAATCATATCCAATTGGATAACAATTGTAGATTGAAGTGTCACTCTTCAACAACATTCAACATTCAAGAATGAGAATCCGAAACCCTTTTTTAAAGCAACCCACAAAGATTGAACAAAACGCATTCAACACAATTCAAGATAAGAATCAAAATCCCTAACCCTAGGTGAATGGATTACCTCATTCTTGGATTTAATTCCATGTTAATTAAATTGAAAAACATAAAATCAATCAACAATAATATAATAGATTGAAAACTTACAATCGGATTAAGACTTGTAAGAGTTTGATCTTAATGTCTTTGTTTTCAACAATCCAAGCATGGGGGAAAAAGAAAAAACGGAGAAATAATCTTAAGAAACTATTTACAAATCGATTCTTGGAGTGTCACCCTCCAAGATCGAATCAAGATGAAAAAAGAACTGAAAAGAGGAGTTCTAGAGGTGTTTATCAAGGTTGGGAACGAGTCCCAATGAAAAGTACTTAAAAAATATAGCAAAACAGTTTTAAAAATTCTGGTCGCAACCTCCGTGGCCGCGGGGAGCTCCGTGGCCGCGACCTTTCAGCTGCAGGAGTGCTCCGCGGCCGTGGGATTCCTCCGCTGCCCGCAGTGAACAAAATTTGGTTGTTGCGCGACTTTACGTTTCAGGCTCGTTTGAGCTCGTCCGAACTCGGAATTGAGTTCTGTTTTTTCCTATGCGTTGCCAACGGAACCTTCTAATTGATTATGCTTTTCCAACCAATATTTTCCTGAAATAATATTCTCCCAAGGCTTCTGAACTACACACCAAAAACGTGGTTCGCGCGACTTCGCGTTTTAAGTTCGTTTGAGCTCGTCCGAACTCAGAATCGAGTTCCGCTTTTTCCTGCGTGTTGCCAACGGAAACGCTCTATTTTGTTATTCTTGCACAACCAATTTTTGCCAGAAATCAGATTCTCCCGAACCTCTCGACCTGCACACCATAAACAAGGAAAAAGAGAAAAATACACGAGAAATAGAAAGAAAACCAAAATAGAGCAAAACACAAAATAAACTATAAAACAACCTAAAAACCAACGAAAAAACCTAATATGAGGGAAAAAGAAAGATAAATCAAACACGAAAAATGCAACAAAAATGAGACAAACAGTAACGTCCCTTGACCCTGAGTTTGTATGCTCGAGGTTCTTCCCCTTGATTTAATTTGTAACATCTGTGGGCCCTCGAGCTCGTTTGCTTGAGGTTCTGCCCCCTTTGACTTAATTTGTAACATCCATAGCCCTCGAGCTCGTTTGCTTAAGGTTTTGCCCCCCTGATTTAATTGAACTTTGCATTTATACCAAACATGTAAAAAACGAACTCATGCTTTTATTAATAAATCAAGCAAACTTTCTTGAAAGATAAAATCAAATGAGGAGAATGAATAACAATGTACTAACCAAACTTAGACATAATTCTTACCATGCCCCACATTCCATGGCCTAGGCAGGAGCTTCCCCTGAAAGTCCCTCAGCTCGTAAGATCCTCCTACTAAAACCCTTGCGACCACGTAAGGTCCTTCTCAGTTGGGTTCTAACTTCCTGACGTGATTAAGTGCATCCGATCGTCGCCATACTCGGTCGCCCACCTAGAACCTGTGAGCTCGGACCTTTTTGTCATGAGCAGACCTCATTCTTTGTTTACATGTCTCCATTCGGATCCTAGCCTGATCGCGGAGCTCGTCCACCATGTCCAACACCTCTTTCTGCATCTCGACTTTTTCTTCTTCATTGTACTTGGATATTATTCTCGAGCTAAGGCCTACTTCGACTAGAATGACAACCTCCATATTGTGTACCATGTTGAATGGTGTTCCTCCTGTTTAGGTCCTCATCGTAGTCATGTTAGCCCATAGAACCGAGTCGAGCTCGTTGACCCACGCCCCTGAAGTTTTCTCTAACAAACCTTTGAGCCCATTTAGTATTGACTTGTTCACTGTTTCAGCTTGTCTATTTACTTGCAGATAAGCTATCGACGCGAAATGTTGTTTAATCTTCATAGCCTCACACCAGGCCATCATCTTTTGACCTTTAAATTGGGCTCCATTGTCGGATACGCGAACCGTAGAGAGTCTGAATCGAGTTTTAACGAGCCGAACTATGAAAAATTACACAAAAACTATCTTTTCGAGCCTTATCGAACCGAGCCGAGCTTGACTTATTAACCAAACGAGCTTTAAATGAGCTCGTACTCTACTTAACGAGCCGCGCGAGCTGGGCCGAGCTCACGAGCGGGTCGTTTAAATTAACAGCTCTACTTCACACTATAAACGTTCGCTAGTCTCTTAGCTCGTTTTTTACCAAGCCGTGCTTCGACTAATCCGTATCTCCAGGTCTAACCAACACAGCTTTTATGTGATGGACCGATACTTTGACCGAGCTGTTTAGCTCGGTCGCCTTCACTCTAACAAGCTCTACTTGGTCGAGCTGTAGTACTTTGAAATGCTCGATCTAGGTGACCCGACCTAGGTCAACATCCCCAACAGCCCGACCTAAACCGTCTCTCCATGGTAACTCGATTATCTTCGAGCTAGTAAACCGATCTGGTCCAGCTAGCAGAGTACCATATAAAATATACTAGAGTTTAGAGGAGGCCTACCGGTTCTATTGTGATTCATTATTCAAATTATTGGTTTATTGCCCTGGCGGCAAAAATAACATTACTGAAATTGAAGCTCTGTCTCAGCCCTGAGGAAGGGGGATATGGAAGATAGCCATAGCGAGTCCATCTTCGATTCGTTGAATTTGAACCCGCAGCTCTTCATCAATGAAGTCCTTAACATCGTCGACGATCTCGTCGACGTCGCTTTCACTTTCTTCCTCCAGTAAACCCCTCTCTCCATCTTCCTGCACACCACTCGTAACATTTTGTTGCTGTACTTAATCTTCCGATCTATTACAGGGAGGCTTCTATGCTGCTAAAAACTGAGGGCACAGATCGGTCTGCGGAGCTAAGCAAGGTTTTTTTTTTTTTTTGTATGAATTCGTGTTTCCAGTTTTGTTTGCCCTTTGGATTAGGGTTTCTGTAGTTTGTGTTTGTTTTTTTGTTTCATGGATTTTTCGTTTTAATGCGTAGGGCATCTCATATGTTCGGAATTTGATCCAGTCGACCCTGGACCAGCGTATGCAGAAATGGGAAGCGTATTGTCTTCGAGTTTGTTTCGGTGTACCCGAAGGATTCTCACTGCCGAAATCTGTATGTTTACCGCTCTGCACTCTTACATCCCCACATACCATGGTTAAGTGTTCTTTGGCCAGCTGGTGTTGTATCTAAAGTCAGTTTCCTTGCCAGAGTAATCAGGCTTGTTTTTATAATGTGGTGATGATTTCTTGGTACAGATGGACCTGACTGTTCAAAATTCCTTTATGAAGTATTTCAAGTTTCATATGTATTATTCTTATGCCAGACTCGAAAGAAAGAGTTGAAGTATCCTTTCAGGTTACTAAGATAAATTAGGCTAATTCTTGGCCCATGCTTATGACTTCTGAGAGTTAATCGTTTGTCTTAATGAAATTAGGTGCTAAAATGATAGTAAATTTATTGTAAAGCATTACAAACAAGTACTGAAATTGGTGGAATTTTTTTATCTATTGATCTCTTTTACAGAATTAGTATTTTTGGTATATACTTGAAAAATGGTCTTTTCTCCTCCAACTTATATAGCATCTGCAACTAACCTTCTGGGAATTTGTGATATCATCATACTAGTTTTTCCTACTGGTAGATAAAGTACCAGCTTCAAATATTACTATGAGGTTTTCATCAGCAGAATAACTTTCCTAATTCTCAAAGAACTCCTGAAATTCATTCATTTTTTAATGCAACATGAAACCTAACTTAGGATATCAACAAAGTACTATATAGAACTTTTTGGGAATAGCGGTTGATTATCTTGAAATTAAAGGCAACAAATGGTTACCAATTGCTGTAAATGCTCGCGTGTATGTTTAAAAGAAAATATGAACGTGTCAGAAGTTGAAGAAAATGGTTGCATGATAGAGAAAGGAATGCATTTAACACAATGGAAGATCTATAGTCCTCGAGTATCTGATCTTCCTTTGAGATGTAGGAATATCACTTGTGACTTGTGAGTTGTCCCACGTTGATTCTCTAACCGAAATGGGCCTAGTTTATTAGCCTTGTGGTCTAATCCTTTGATTACTAATTGGTTTTGGGATGAAAGCTCACTTAGGTGCGCCTAGGCTCCCCCTCTTACTATGTGTTTCACCTCTATGGGACCGCACCCTTCCCTGGATCTATAAATGTAGCAGAACTATTACTATTGCATCTCTGTAGAGTATACCTGCCTGTGTAAATTTTTGTCATAACTTTTAGACTTCCAGGCACCTCGAGCCCAACTAGGAAATAACAAGTACTCTCGTAACAACTGAAACTCAATTGTAACCAGTTTTGATGTGATTCGGATATTAGTACTTATGAAGGTAAACTCTCAAAAGTCGGCAGCTCATTTGAAGATAGCAAAAATTTGGTTCTCAAGTCTGACCATTGTTTCCTGCATGCAGGGGGAATACAGTGATGACCTGTATCTGAGGCCCTTTGTACTTGTTTCCCAAGAAGTCTGCATTGTTTTGGTGAACCAAAAGCCAGGCTATAAATGTAGTTAATATAAGTAATGCCTTCAGGTAGTTGAACCAAAATAGATTGAAGTTTAAAGTGGCTTAATGGCTGTTGTTTGCTCCATGTTGTGGATAAGTATATGGGAAGAAAATAATCAGGTGTTATCCTGAATGAAGAATAAACGAAATGAAGGATAGCAGAATTAGTCTTAAGCTAGGCATGAGAGTAGATTTCTCGAAGAACCTGTGTATCTTAGAGCTACTAAGCTGATATGATCGGTAGTTGGTGTCTGTCTATTGTTCTCACCTCCAGTCTACATTTAGACTGAAATACTTTACTATGGTTGAACTCTATAATGCTTAATTTAACTGATTCTAACTAAATTTGAACTGGTGAAGCTAAATCCCACTTTTGCAGTTGTGCCACTAGACTGACACTTAGACGTAAATTCTCACTATCTTTTGCAGGAGTTTTCTGGGGATGATTTACCAGAACTTGATGCTTTCACCGATGCAGAGCTAGATGAACAGTTGAATTCATTGCGTGACAGACTTGCATTGGTACATGCTCTCATTTAATTCGTAAAACTTTATTTGGTTGGGTGCAATTAATGTGCGTACTCATAACTTATATCATGTACTCACCAAACTCTTAAATTTCTGAATAAGGTCGGCAAAGAATCTGCTGAGCTTGGCAGAAAAGTTTGCGCATTGGAGAGGCAGTCTTTTTCAAGCAAACAGTCTTCTGAGTCCATTGATGAAGCACTGCAATCATACTTGAAACAAGATGCCACTCAATTGTTCCAAGGTACTAAGGTTGTTTTCGTTGAGTAAATGTGAAAACTTCTCAGATAGATCATATTGAAACAATAAAGGGTCTTATGTGACTGTTTGGGACAAGACTCGTTTACTCACATGTGAATGAATTCTATTTTCTGGCACATTATAGAAATAAAAAAGAATAATGTCTGCAAATGCATTTTATTTCTGGGACGCTTTGTTGGGTTGAGATATAATGCTATACTAGTACAACACCCGTAAACTACATGGGTGTTTGAAATTAAAAAAAA